TAAAGTAACATTTAATATTCTGTAATCAATAAAATCCTTTTTACCATTTGCCTGAAAAGTTCCTGTATTATAATAAAAGAAAATTTATGTAAACTTTGTGTAACTCTTTTCAATTTATGATTGTACTTCTAGACTTTAATTGCCTATTACAGGTTAAGTTGCATGCTATACTAACACTCTTGTGTCTCATATTACATAATAGTGGTGTAATATTTTTTGTAAGTTTTCTTATGTAAATACGTAATATGTATCAAGTTTATAAAAAGAAATTGTATAAGTATATGGAAATCGCATTAGAAGAGTTTAGAAGAGCCGTGGGTTGGCCACTGTGATCATATATAATAGTTTTATGGTTGCAGATTAATACAGGATAAACTATATAGTAAATGGTCTAGTTTTAAATGTAATTAATTTAGTGACTCAAAAAAACTATCTGTAATGAACAATTTTAATCAATTGAAAATTTTAGTTTGCAAAATTGATGGTAATTTATTGTAGTTTGCATAGGGAAAGAGTAGACATGAGTCAGCCTGAGCTTATCAGTTGGAAGGAGACGTGTGTAAGTTCACACTATTTCTGCTGATTTGTTTTTTACATTTGTAAAATGTTTTTATACTAGCTTTATTGTGAATAATTTTATTGTTTTATTTCTTTATACACTTTATTATAGTGATCCAAGTGTCATTTTTCTTGTGTCTGACAATCTGTGATGGATTCTTCCGGCTTGGGTTGACTCGTGTCTACTCTTTCTCTGTGCAGAGTATATCTATATATATATATATATATAAAAATGGACATGTATGTCGCTATATCTCACGTTTTCGCCAAAACTACACGTCGCACGTGAATGGTGTTTGTATATAGTGGTAGCCCCAAGTCTCCATTCGTGCATAGGGGTGGTTGCGTCTCGATAGCTATAAGGGTGCGGGAGATATGAGGCTAAAAGTAGTTGAAAGTGGCTTTCTATTTCGAATGTTTTGTTCGAATTAAATTCGAACATAAAATTCAAATTGGTTTGATTATAAAACAATTAAAAACGTTCCAGAAACGTTGAAATTTGTTCGTTTGACTAAACGTAAAAATTCTCTAATTAGTCTGGAAACGGGGGACCTAATTCTTGCATTTTGTGAAACGGGTAAGATTAGCTATAATGTAATTATCTTAATCTTCACTATCGTTACTTTTTGCCCTGCGAAGTGGGTCCTTGCAGCTAGATTCTAGATTACTTAGAAAAACAGTCTTTTATATATATAAAAATAACTATACTATTACATACAAATAAAAACCCAGCGAAGCGGAATCTTGCAGCTAGTAACTTTAATATAATTTTAAGAAAGTCAAACGTTTTTTGCAAATAGAGACTTTATAGTAAATTAACACCAGAAGTAGTGGAATGTTATTTTATGGGCAAAAAGGGCAATTGACTGGATCCCCCCAACAGGTGGACCCAAGCCAATCTTTTATAAACTCATTATTGTAGTAAGACTATTGAAATTATATCTCGGGCCCTGGATTGTCGGTGTCGTGCAAGCACGAGATGCACTGGCGCAGAGCAGAACTTAGCCTGCCAGTGGTCGTGTTATAAAAGGAACAAAGATATTGGGGAATTTTTCCAAAGAACAATGTTTGAAAGACAACACTGTATGTGGGACCCCCTAATTGAAATTTACCTTCTGCTCCACCAAGATATAACTTGCCACTGACCAAAAGCTGAGTAATTTCTTTTAATTTTTTATATATAATATATTGGTGTATGCCTTGCAACTTTATGACCTTTAAAAATATTGAAGATAATAATTTATTAGAAACAACATGAAATAAAAACACCTAAATAACAGTATTCTTTTATCTGTGATTTAAAAAAAATGTTATGTCAGATAATCATTAATAAATAACACATCCTATAAACAAGGTGGAACAACTTATGCAATAACATGATGTTAATTAAAATTATTATCAAATGATTATGACAAATTAATGCAGTAAGCATTTCTTGTGCTAAAATGTAATAGATTGATTCTAGAAGCCAACTAAAACATCTTAAGTGTTCTTTTTTTTTAATGAATTCTTAATTAGTGATAGGTCCATGAATTGTAAACTGATAGAATATCCATGTTCTGGAATAATGCAGTTGGATATTTTAAGTATTAATAGAAAAAAAAACTGCCTTTATTATTGAGTTCGAAACATTTGTGGTTGTAATTTTAACAGAAGAGTTTTGTGACTATTTAAAACATGTTTTGGAAATATTGATGAAGAAAGGAAATAGTATCAATTTATCAATGACCATCTTTGAAAAGTATATCATAATTTCATAATTATGCAAGAAAAGTAGTGTTGAAGGTGGTATGTTTTTGTTAATTGACAAAAGGATTGCTAAGCAGAATATAGTTATAAATGTAAATGAAAATATTTTAGCATAAGGAAGGATACTCAGTGTATAATCATACACTTTTTTTATAGTTCCAGAAAATATTAAGTTTAATAACATCTGTTATCAATGCTTTCAGCCATTTCACACTAGCATTTTTCAGGCAACAACAAGAAACAAAAATTAGAATGGAAACATTTTTTACAACAATTTGAGAACAACATAGAAATTTCCAAATGAATACAAAATTTAAGTATTCAAAATGATTCCAGAAACACATAACTCAAACTGTATTAGTTGAAGTCTGCGGTAGCATAATTGGTATAGAATGTTGTGGATGACAAGATCGGTCCAGAGCATTCCATGCAGATGCATTGCTAATTATGCTACCAGGACCTCTGTTCACTCTTCATTTTAGATTAATTAATTCTAAACTTAGTAATCAAATTATGATTAATAAACTCAATATAAGATTGCAACTTAATCATATAACTTTAGTCTGTATTACATATAGTAAATGAATATGTACAAGCAAACAATCGGAATAGTTAATTGTCATAAAGTAAAGATTGATTTTGCTCAACCACTAACCACACCCCATCCAAAGAGATATGTGCGGATGGATGTTGAAAGTGTTTGTCTGCTATGTTGGACCTTGGATCCTACACATTTGAGATATTAAGAGGATGTTAGGAACATGTTTAGAGAGACTAATAGGAATGTATGTTATGAACTTGCCTAGAACTGCAATCTTTTTGTTCTGCTTGCTTACAGACATTTTAAGTTTAAAGTTATAATTTTCACATTTTTGCATTTAAATTGGTAATGTCGTACCAATTTGCATGTGCATGATTCAAATTGTTTTAAATCTTTAAATTACATTTGTGTTTGATTGCTTAATATTGTTCTGTTTGTTATTGATTAATGCTATATGTAATGGTGATTGTTTAAAACAGATGATAATGTTTGTATCAGTTGACATATTTCTTTATTTCTTTTTCTAGTTTCAGGTATATTTGTCTGTATTTTCTTTTCATATAAACAGTTTATGAAGAACTAAACTTTTTACTAGCTTGATTTTTGAGTTTTTCATAAATGCATTTCAAATATTTCTACATATATTTAACAGAAATTTATAATACTAGAATTCTGTGATTCGGATGTTAGTATTCATGCATCATTGCTATTTGGAATTCAGATGTATAATGAGTTTGGATACTTGTATCTAGTTGTATTAGTAAATTCTATGTATATATTATTTAGTAGTTATAATGTTGATTAGATATTTATGTTTCAGTTTTTAATTACAAGTAGAAACACAACTGAGTAAACTATATTGTCTTTTGATTGACAGCTGATAATAAGCTGTAAAGGCATCAATCTATCATTCTGACAGATCCGAGTTTGAATTTGTTTCAAAATCTCAAATTTTCATGAATAATTTACTTACAAGTGGAGGTTCATATTTTTGGGTATCCAATTACAATGAAACTTGGTGAGTGTGTAGTGCTTAATACAAGAAACTTCTTGTCCAAATGATAAGATCCACTTTTTATACACTTCTGAAAATTCAGTGTTTAGCTTATAAAGTTTTGGATTAAGCTATGTTTTGAAAGAAGTGATAGTTAAATGATCAATATGCTAGGCATTTGAGCAATGGGATGTGGGTTTGAAATTTCACAATGTTACTGTTTCTTTTATGTATAACATAATTAGTTTATTGTTTTACCATATAAATATATTATTAGCTAACATATTATTATATTAAACAAAGAGCTGATAGAAAATGTAACTGTCCAGTCTCAAAAGGTAATTAAGAGATTTGAACATTTGTTAGTTGCTATTGCATTTAAGAGAAAATATTTCTGTACTATAAAGGTAATTTATTGAAGAAACAAAGACACAGCTTTGTTCTTGCACAGTGCCAAAACTAAGTGCTAAAAGATGGAAATGTACATACCAGTCTTTAGTACACCAAAAAAAAAAATTTAAACACCTTTTATACAAATCACAGAAACAGTTGTTTATTTTCATACTGCATGGAGGATAGTCTGAAAATTATGGGAAAGTTATGGGAAAAGATGCATTACAAGAATGAATATTTGTGTTGTCTCTCTTTCATAAATGAGACCCTCTATTGTAAGAATACTAAATGAACAACACTACTTAACATGTCTAACAAAAAGCCTTAATTAAATTCCACTGAGAATTTAATTCAAAGTTAAAACTTTTGGAGTAACATTTTTGATCTACGAAGGAAGATCTTCAGGTCTGTATATTTGATGGTGGAATGATTGAATAAACAATACAATACTGCAAACCAAACTGTTGTTATCAAATCACATTTGAAATTTGTGTGTGGACTTTGTTACCATTTGTAATTCTCATTGTTTAAGATACTTTAATTTGTTGTCACACTCAATTCAGTTCTAATTCAGAAGCAAACAAGTAGTGGTGCTAAGTTGAGGTGTGATTATATACATTAAAGTGAAACAAAATTCCTGAGAGAGATTTATCAACTCTTTAATTAAAATTTGGTTTTTGAATAAAATTTTAATGAATTTTTAAATAGTTTGTTGCTTTCGTAAGTAAAAATATAAAAATATAATTTTATTTGTTTTTTAAATAGATCGATAAGACATTCGCTGATGATAAGTCATTATCATCAGACATTAAATCTTTTCCTTTGAAAAGCTTGGATGAAAATTGCGAAGAAGAATCTTTTGATATAGAAAATGAGGAAGCTATTCTCAATGACAATAAGTATGAAGATGATGAAATGTAAGTATCGTCATTATTATAATGATTTATACAGTAATTATTTGTTATAAAATGTATAACATGGTTTAATCCCAGGGAATAAACCATGTTGATAAGTCATCTGAAGCTAGATGGAATAGCAATAACTTAAAAGTCATTATATTTAATAGCAGTTTAATCTAAAAACTGATTATATTTAACATATTAATATGTTGAAATTCAGCATATTATGTGGTGGTGTGGAGGACAAGAAAAAGATGACAAAGAAGTAACTATAAATTAAACAGGATTTTTATTTAACTACAGTTACGTGGTCCTTCGTACACCTGGTTCGTTTACACTAAACACACTTGATCCCAAACTATAGTACGCACACAAGTTCAAAGCCGTCCAACAAAATTCTATATGCTTTCACGGACAGGAGACACGTGCTCGCGACAATGCAAAATTATGGTTTGAAATACTACAACTAACTTAAATCTACCTTAATCTAGCTTATATGCTAAGGAAGAAGAGGGAAGAAATTAAGAGATACGAAGAGAAGAGACAAGTATAAAGGACAGATTTGTGGGGGTACCCGGGTAAACTTGGGAGTCTCCGATCTTCTCTATATTGGTACTTGAATTAACCCAATTTCCTTCCTCTTGATTCCGTCTCTTGAGGATTTGAGAGCGTTTTTCTTGAGGTCTTAATCTGGGTGTCTTTCTAATTTTCGTCCGTTCGCCTACAACTTCCAAGCCTTCTCCGTTTGTCCCACTAGGTGACAAACCTTTAGCTTGCTGTTTCCAACGTCTGTACCCCTCGGACGCTGACCCGAAAGTGTCTTGTTCGTTTTTACTCATGGCCTCAGGGCTTCTTAATGTCCCCTTTTGTCTTTTCCCTTTGTCCTTGGACAAAGGTCCCCCACCCATAGAAAAAGAATAGGTTAGAAAGTTCTAGAAACAGACGTTAAAGACAAATTAATTTAGTAGAAATAAAACTTATATCTACCCCTATGTACAAAGACATGGCGTACCGCCACAATTAAAAGAGAATGTTTGCATAGATTATTAAGTAAGTGTGTGATTATTCACAATGTATTCAGTCCACATTTCTTTAGATGATTGAGCCTATACTGTGTGTATGTAATTTGGAATTTTTCCATTAAATTCGATCATTGCACTAATGTATAATATGAAACCGACTGATTTTACAATACAAACGACTATAGAATTCGTCAATTAAAATACAACATGATTAGAAAGATGAGTGATGTAGGCATTGTTACCATATTGGTTATGTTATATTCTGGAAATTTTAAAATTTATTCATTAATTAGGAATATGAAAATCTGAGATTTCGGTCAGTTTGAAAAATGCACTCACATGCAAAACCTATTGTCATTATAAAACTATTAATGTTAGATTAATTTATTACTATAATTATTATTGTTATAACTTGAATACAAATTATCAATTATTTTCAATTTTTGTAAAGGTGTGTTATATCGCCGTTGACAAAGCAACATGTGGACTCGTTACTTTGCGACAAAAACGGAATAGAAATATCTTTTGATGGAAATTTTGGCACCGTTAATTTGGGTGACAAGAAATGTTTAACAGTTTCCATCGGGTAAGTGTATTGAAATTTGGAAAAATGTCTTGATTTCGTATATTTTATTGCAGTAACACTGAAAATTGATTGTGTTTTACAGTAATACAAGTTCCTTGCCTTGTGTATTGCTAATGTGCAAGCCGAATGAAAATTATCAGGGAGCTACACAGTTTAATGTTGACAAAAACCCCAATTATCCAATATTAATTCCTCCAAATGAATCCTTTGATGTAAATGTAACTTGCATCGCAAGGTTAGTTTACTTATTAAATATATTATGGCAATTGATTTACAAATCATTGGTGTTATTAATAAGATTATTAAATACCTGAAATGAAAGCTTAATAATAATAAATTGTTTTCTATAGTCAACTAGGTCGGAGTGAACAGCTTCTGTTTTTTCAATTTGAAGGATTTACCATAGAAAGAATTCTAGAAGTGAAAGTTGAAGATGCAAATCAGCAGTTGCCTTTGTCCAATGCAACTCTTATACCTAGACACTTGTTTGGTAATAGATCAAAAAACTATAGAGAAGCATCAGGTTCTCTGATACCAGGAGAGAGACCTTGCAGGTTTGTAATATTGTCTAACTTTTACACGAGATTTTGATTAGCATTTGACGTTAATCGCTGCGCTTAACTTTAATAGGGTTAAAAGTCGATTCTCTCGAAGACTGCAGACATTTGCCATTCCGGAAGAATTGCAGAGCATTGCTTTGGAAGGAAAACACATCGTGCATAGTGTCCCTGTTCTCACAGAGGTTTGTTACGAAAATATATTGTACATTATGTAATCATATTTAACTTTAATTTATTTGTGATTAATTGATTTTATTTAAAAAATTAGGAGTTATCTGTAACAAATTACAAAGAGAAATTTCACACTCTGCTTTACCTTGAAGAAATACAAATGAATATTGACATGAAAGGCTTTAGTATGGATCAGGTATGATGTTGTTTGATAAATAGTAACACCAGTTTTAAAATTGATTTTGGAAATAACAGTTTTTGGGCATCTTTAGATTTGTTTTCAACCTTGCGAAGACTATTTAACATTAGAGGTACAGGGACTGGCAGAAAACAGGCCCACGCTATTCGTAGGTGACAGAATTACAGCCAGTGACCCAGTAGAGAAATCGAACCCCGTATACGAAGGATTTATTCACAAGGTATGTGTTATTGTATCAAAAACCTATAAGGAATTTGTGTATTAGAATTCAAAAACTAATATCTTGATATGGAACCAAAGAAGACTGTTTTTGTTAGCATTATTATTTTTAAAAGATTTTGAGCTACATGGAATGTCACTTTAAATAAATTTTAAGCATATGTTTAAATAAATATATATTAATTATATATAGAATTTGGTACCATACTATAATTTTTGTTTTTAATATATTTTATATAAAATAAATAAACTTAAAAGTGATATGAGATTTGTCTATTTCAGATTGATAAAAAAAAGATATTTGTGAAATTCAATAGCATTTTTCATAGTAAATATAACGGAGAAAGTTATGATGTAGAATTTCATTATAACAGGTAAGATTTTTAGATTATTATTATTATTATTATTATGTGTTAATGTACTAATGGTAGTTGGTTAAGCAGAAATGCCGTTAGTTGCGTATTTTAAGTAATATGCATGTGTGGTAGAATCTGAGATTTGCATAATTTGATCCCGACACATTGGACTCTGTCCATTACTAGACATTTTCCTTAGTACAGGTCTGATCAGACCTATACTGGGCATGAAAATGAGGCTTATTAGTGCCTTTACGCAGAAAGACTAATGTGACTGGAGAGTTGGGAAATCTTTGATGCCTCGTCAGGGCTAACACCATTGAGTCTCGTTGACCCAGAAGCTCTGACGGCGAGGTTTGTTTTATAAGTAGGTCACACGAGCTGCTGCGTGCACAGGTGATTGGATTTGGAATAGAGACCGTGAGACAACGGGTTGGAAGTGAATCATTCAGATTCTAATTAAACCAACAAATAACTTTATTTGAAAAAAAGGATATGATACACATTATATCGGAACAACTATACAGATATGATCTCGAGAGAGAGAGTTTACATTTGAGTGCTTGGGGTGATAAATACCTTGAAGAGGAGTTGGAGATTGGATGCTTGCTGGTCGAAAAGGAGAAAGTTCCAGATGATAGTTGTTAGTCTTAGTTCAGAGGTCAACGGTTGATAGTATGATTGCAGAGCGAGAAGGATGACTTACCCATAGAGATACTTAAAATGATATATCCAATGAATGTATTTAAATGTATCTGAAATTTAAGGCACAGGGAAAACGAGTGGCCAGTTGCGGAACTAGCAAAGACTACGATAGTTGGTAGCTAGTTGTTATATTGAAACAATGAAATTGGGACAGCAGATCACAAGATCGTGTGAAAGCGTCTTTATTCACGCTGAGAACTTAAAAGAAGATATGCTCCCAGGTGTGAAAGTTGACAAATAGTTGACAAAGTTGATGTTACAATGTTAAATTGTTTATGTTGAAGTTGGGATTCCCAGAATAAAATAATAGGAATTAAAAAATAGTGTGTTAATATTAGTTGTATAATGAATTATTCTTTATTTCAGAATGATCATGAGAAGATATCATCACGCTATTGAAGAGGCATTAAACCTTCCTGAAAATGGTGAGTGATATATTACATTGGGGAAGGGAATTGGGAAGATCTATCTTATTATAATCGTTATTGATATTTCTTTTTTAGTTCTCTTTCCAAGTAAAATAGTCTGTAAAACACCTCAAGTTCATCTTTTAGAAACTGAGGCATCAACACCTGCAACTTCTTGTACACAGAAAGGAGAATTGGAAAAGAAGGAATATAAAAATATAAATTCCATTCATCGTAACGGTAACATCACATTCTGCTGTCCCGTGGTAAAGATGGAAGTCCAGTTGCCAAATAACAGAAAGTCGGTGACAATTAAGTGGCATAACAAGTCTCTGAACGATCGACAGAAAATTGCAGTGAAAAGAGTGTTGGACGGAACTTGCCGACCCATGCCTTACGTTATATTTGGACCTCCGGGAACGGGTAAAACAAAGACTGTTGTAGAATGTATTGTTCAAATATTCAGCCGTGTGAAGTCTAGTAGAATTTTAGTCTGTACTCCGTCAAATAGTGCTGCAGATGTAATCGTAAGTGAAAGATTAATTTCAAAAAGTAAAATTTATATCCAAAACTTTTATGTAATCTCTTTTCTACACGTTAAAATATTAGGTACAACGTCTGGTGGAAAGTAAGTTATTCGCTGAAGCCGACCTCGTTAGACTCAATGCCTTCCATAATTCCAAAAAGGTTTGTTGTTATATCATTTGAATAACGATGATGCCATAGCGTGTCTCTGTAATGACGACGATTACTTTCAGGTTATGCCAGACGACGTTAAGCCATTCTGTAAAGACGTAGACAAAATGTCTTTGATTTCTAGTCATCGTATTATCGTTTGTACTTGTGTAACTGCTGGAAAATTTTATAGTCTAGGTTTGACAGTAGACCATTTCACTCATTTGTTTTTAGATGAGGTAATTAGAGTTTTGAATTTCTTATTTAATAACACTGTTTATTTCAATGAATGTAAGAGTAAGTGTTTTCTGTTTGCATAAAATGAGTTTACTCATTGTTTATTTTCTTATTTGTAGGCCGGACAGGCTACCGAACCAGAATCGATGTTAGCGATTGAATTAGTTGCAACAGGCAACGGACAGGTAACCATTTTTTTTCTACGATACATGAAATCAAATTTGGGATCCCTTAGTGTTTCTTTATCACACATATTGGAAGGCCCACAATGAGAAAGTCATATTTTTGTAATTTTCTAGGTTGTCCTAGCTGGAGATCCTCAACAGCTCGGACCGGTCGTACACTCCTACAACTCTAAAGAAAATGGACTTAAGGTTTCATTTCTAGAAAGGATAATGGCTCTGCCTCTGTATCAGAGAAATCCAGAAAAGTATCGACAAGGAAACTATAATCCATTACTAGTACGATAATTACTTTCATAATCACATCTTGAATTAGAAAAGTACCAAAGGCTCACATTTATAACTTTTTACTTTTGTTTTTATAGATAACTAAACTAGTAGAAAATTATAGATCCCATTCTTGCATTATTTCGTTATCATCGCAAATTTTCTACGACTCCGAACTCGTCTGTTCTGCCCCCAAAAGTTTACGGGACACGTTTTGCAAGTGGGAAGGATTACCAAACAGGTCGTTTCCTATGATATTCTGTGGAGTCAGGGTAAGTCGAAGTTGTCATTAAAAATTATTTTATATTCAGAATTTTAAAAGTTTATGTATGAATAGGGTGAAAATCTTTGGGATAGCGACAGTCCTTCTTGGTTTAATCTGTACGAGGTCCAGCAAATAATTAAATATTTAAAAAGTTTATATGCTTTGGGAATTTCGCCCAATGACATTGGTATCATCACTCCATATCGCAAACAGGTAGGTTGGAGAATAATTTAAAGAGATATAATCCTACGGTAGTATGATAAGAAAAATTACATTTAAATTTCCCATATAAGAATGATTTTTAAATGTTATCTAATGGAAATTTTAACTTGATGATGAGATCAATATGATCTTTTTATGGGGTAGTCATACTTGGATGAAAAGAAATTGTTATAAAAAAGCATTGTGTCTGCTGGAGCAAAATAGCAGAACAAAACAGTTTCTATAGTGTTGAAAGCAAGATAAAAATTTTTTATTTATAAATACAAACCTGTTCTAGTTATTGTATGAAGAAATTTGCATAAAATATTTTAATTCTACATTATTTTAGGTGGGGAAAATCAAACATATGATAAACATGAATCGAATTGAAATGTGCCAAGTGGGTTCTGTAGAAGAATTTCAAGGCCAGGAGAGATTGGTTATAATTATTTCTACGGTAATTGTTGTTCTTCGTTTGTTTAATTTTAATGTCGATAGTCCTTTTCTCACAAATTAATTTTTAACACCACAGGTTCGAAGTTCTAAAGATCAGCTGAATGCCAGACGCAACTTAGGTTTCCTGACCGATCCGAAAAGGTTTAATGTCGCAATTACCAGAGCACAAGCCCTGCTCATTGTGATTGGAGATCCATATCTCTTGTGTCACGTAAGTAATTTTTTTAGTTTATTTGTCGACTTTGCTTCTAAACTGTAACAATTATTCGTTTGCATTGTTAGGATAAACACTGGAGGAAATTAATCAGTTATTGTTTGGATCAGAAATCGTACTGCGGATCGGCAATCTCCCTGGCAAAAATACAAGATTTGTCTTCAGAAGAATAATGAACTGTAGAACCATAGTGTTTTAATGCTCATTCTAGATGTACAGTTTTATCTGTAAATAATGATTTTAGTTTACCTCTTGTATAATATGCATATGTAAAATTTTGTAAAAATCATGTAAACAAATGAACTGAATGAGTATGTATTTTTAATACATTTATACGGATTTAGCGGTAAAATATAAATTTGTTTTTTACCTGTAACGAGGTGATTACAGGCAATATATGATTTGGATACAATTAGGTGATACGACATTTACCTTTAGAAGAATAATGAACTGTAGACTATAGTGTTTTAATATTGCTCATTCTAGATGTACAGTGTTATCTGTAAATAATGATTATAGTTTACCTCTTGTATAATGTGCATATGTAAAATTTTGTAAAAATCATGTAAACAAATGAACTGAATGAGTATGTATTTTTAATACATTTATATGTATTGATCAGTGAAATATAAATTTGTTTTATATCTTTAATGAGGTGATTAATGTAAAATCTTTCTAATATTTTAGCATAAAAGTAAACATAAAATTAACATTTTACCATAAACAAAACATATTTATAAAGAATAATAATGCAAGGCAGTAAGCCATAAAATCAAAATATTATTTCTGTACATGGACAACGAAAGTGTTTAAATGTGTTCTGATAAGTAAGTATTGTCAGACCTGTAGAGCATGTGGTCTGATAACGATGCGTTTGGTTCTATTTTTTACTGTTTCATCCAATCAACAAAACAATACTGAATGCTTGGTTGCGTAAATAAAAGTTAGGTAGAATAAATGTTATGACAGTTCTTTTTAATTGAAATTTACACTTAACTTTCTTGACAACATTTAGAGGTGCATCTATTGGCAGACAATGTCTTTGGCGAGAAAATTGTTTCCAATGCTTTCATGTGTTGGTGAAAGTTAATTGACATAATTGGGATCTGAAAACAAGTGCATTTTGTTAGCAGAAGCAAGACAGTTTGAAGACAAATGTCTTGGTGCACGGTATCCAGTGATGGAGTTTATGGACCATTTTTCCTTGAAAAAAGTTACTGAACATACTGGACTCATTTTGTATTTTTCGATCAGAAGCAATGAAGCTCAATGTGTTTTCTAGCAATACGAAACATCGCCACACTGGGATTACTCGTCAGCAAATCTTAGATAGGATACCCAATTGATGAAAAGTTGAAATGCTTCTATTCTTTGGCATCATCTCTGGATTTTCTGGAGGGGATACTTAAAGGAACAGGATGTATTCAAAGAAAGTTACTGACATTGCAGAATTGAAACCTCAGATAGGAGAGAGAAAATAATGCTTTCATATAAAGTTATGCTTGAAAAACTTGCAAGAAATCAATTGCAGATTGGATATTTTGTGTGCTACTGAAGGTGCCCACCAGAAAGTTTACTAAATTTTGTTGGGTGCTCACGGCTTTGTGACAAAAGAATTCTTTGAGTTGCTACATTCACTCAAAAATTATTTTCTTAATCTGTTGTTATTCGTTTAACTAAAAATGCTAATCTGACAATAAATTATAGATATGCTGCTATACATGGTGTTTCATTGGTGTCATTCAGTAGTTTTTTACTGGAAACGATTAGAGTTAGGAAGGACTAATGATCAAGTTTATAGAGCAGGCAGGGGGGCAATTTTTGGTGACTTCAGATGACCTTGAAAATCAGCAGTTTTTGAGATTCAAAAGATAATATGGTTTGTTTAAATTAATATGGTATGCAGCAAAATAAATACTGGGTACCTTTTATAATTTTCTTAAACCTAATGATGCTTAGATATCAGTCAATTTTGTATAAAAAAATGATTTCCCTTTTTCCTGAATGTTGCTATGCTGGAAACTAAGTTTATCAGTTTATCAAAACTCTTTACAAGACAGAAAAATCAAGCAATGAGTTGCTTAACTTTCCCAGCAATATTTAAAACTGCGTGTGTTGCCCCATCTTTTAAAATATTAATAACATTATCTTTTAAACTATTATAAAATTTGCAAATCCTATATTTTGATGGTAGGAATGGGTTTTATAAAAAAAATCGTAAATGCTAATGAGTAAAATCTTCATTAAGACCAACCGACCATACTCGAGATATGATACACAACCTCCTTTTATCTCTCCACCATTAACTAACAAAAATTTAATAGCATCAATTCCCCTAATAAACGAACATCCATGCATAATTTCAGAAATTTTCGACAAAAAGCACAGGAGTTATTAAGCTTCAAACAGGGCGATCAAAATCATGCCCATCACAAACTAACATCTATAGATTAAAAAAATCAGTATTTTTTTCTTTCTATATTACTAAGTATGAAAGGTGAAAAGAAAGGTTTTGTTTCTATGTTTAAAAAACAAATCTTGAATGACGTGTTTTCTTTTCACTGCATAATCCATCAAGAGGTACTTTTTTAGCAAACTTTTCCGAAGGAAATAACATTAGTTATGGACCTGGTTGCATAAATTGTGAACAAAATAATGGCATGACAACTATATCATTGGCAATTTTGTGAACTTCTTAACCAAAGTGAACAGCCAATATTCTGATCTTCTTTTACAGAATAAAGTAAGGTGGCTTTCCAGAGGAGCAGTGTTAATGCCATTTGCTACTTGCATTAAGGAAAAAATTATTTTTAAAGCAGAAAGATCTTGAATACGTTGAGCTCAATAATCACGACTGGTTACAAAAATTTTATTTTATGGTGGACGTGACCTCACATTTAAACACACTACAAGAAACTGCAAGGTAAAGCCCTGGTCACACTATGCGATTTCTAGCCGCGCAGGCGACTGCAACTGCAACAAGCGCGAGTCGCGCACGTCTTCTCGTGGTCACACATTGTTCGTTGACGTTGCAACTCGGAAACACGTGACCCTATAATAAACCAATAAAATTACAGTAGCTTGTTTTTGACTACTTTCGTGAGTTTGCCGATATTTTTCGTTCTACTTCAGAGTATATACGGAATTTTAGCCACTTTTCTTATTAAAATAGCAAGCAGTTCCTTTTCTGGAATGAATAAAAGAAAAAAGGCGATTATTTTAATAGACCTGGCGAAAATACATGAAAAGATAAAATCTTCGATAAAACGAAGAATTGAAATCCCACAGGTATTCGTGAGCCTGAATAAGCTCGATCAATCTCGATTCTGTAAAAGTATTAATCCTCTGACTATCCGCCATGATGATGAACTATTTTCAATGTTGTCACTGTATGACGTGGCATAAAGGCGTTTGTTGATTGGATGCGCGTTTGCAATCGTCGCGAGTAGAACAAACTTTTTGTTTCTAGTTGCGATTGCAGTCGCGCCGGTTTTCGAGGGGGGATTACTAGTTAACGGGAACAGCCGTCGCGGTTGCAGTCGCCTGCGCGGCTGGAAATCGCATAGTGTGACCAGGGCTTAAGGGAAATACAGCTTCTGATTCAATGTCACGGTGAATTTATCGATACTTGGCATATAATTTCATCACCACTTTTTATTCATATAGATACGCGTTTCGGGTTTTCGCCTCTCTTCAGTCTGTTACTTAGATAGCTTGTATCTTGTGTATACAGTATCTATCAGGCACCTTCCGTACTTCCCACTCCCCTCTCGACTTGACGGCCTCCCCGTCATGCCTCGTAACTTGTAACGTCTCACTCTCCGAGTGCCGCACACAGCCTCGCCTGCGACTGTATAAACCAGTATTTCTGAACGGGGGCGATATCGCCCCCATGTGGGCGTTTTTCCATGTTGAGGGGGCGATTAGTAACAATTTATATTTTGGGGGCGAAAAACAATTTTCTGGGCGATATAGTAAAACATTATATTAAGAATAATTAGATATTGTGAATTTGTCTCTTNTTTTTCCATGTTGAGGGGGCGATTAGTAACAATTTATATTTTGGGGGCGAAAAACAATTTTCTGGGCGATATAGTAAAACATTATATTAAGAATAATTAGATATTGTGAATTTGTCTCTTTAATCCGATTTTCAGTTCGGTAGACTATCATATGCAGCATTCAGGTTATGAACTTCCTTTATTGATTTGTCATTTGTAGTTGAAGTGTTTTTTAAATGGCTGTATTTGTATTCTTTTCAACGTTACCAATTATACACCGAGGTTTTTAGAAAACAGAATCTGAGTTTGTACTGAAGAGGGACTTAAATTACAATTGAGTCCGAAATGCATATGACAAATCAATAAAGGAAGTTCATAACCTGAATGCTGTATATGATAGTCTACCGAACTGAAAATCGGATTAAAGAGACAAATTCACAACGAAAATNACAGTTTGTACTGAAGAGGGACTTAAATTACAATTGAGTCCGAAATGCATATGACAAATCAATAAAGGAAGTTCATAACCTGAATGCTGTATATGATAGTCTACCGAACTGAAAATCGGATTAAAGAGACAAATTCACAACGAAAATAGCAGCAGCCATAAGTGATTTTCTGAAATAATTAGATATTTTATTCGTTATATCGTACAATAATTAAACAAATAATTATCATTATACAGTCGACCCCCTATAAGACAGTAGATACGTTCCATTCTTTAGGAATCCAATTTCTTACGAGTCCTTCCAATCACAGCCCGACACGTGTCAAGTTTACGGATTACGGCTGTTTGCAGGGCCGGCCATTTGCGGGGTGCGGCGGATGCTACGCACCGGGGCCCCGCAATTGAGGGGGCCCCAACATTATCAAGAACTAAAATAATGTACTCTTGCACACGAAAACTTGACAATATTCCTATCGTTGTCAGTATGACGAAAAGTATATTTTATCGTAAACATTATTATTGTAGATCTCTGAATTTCGACAATCTTCAAGCTAATTCTTGATGATGCGAGTGTTTAGTTTTTGTTATTTGATTCTGGGAACTCCCGAGGATCCTCACCTAAATTGGACTTTTTAGAAAAAATCTCAATACCATATAGCCCGCGTTAAGAAATGAAAATAATACTGTGGCTGTCGGCCATATAAAATTATATGTATGTTTGTATATAGTCGTAGTTTTAATGTTTCTTTTATAAATTCTTCTATTTTTGTCTGTCTAACTTCTGGAACTTTCTGGTGACCGTTATTGTCTCCGGGTAGGATTAGCCGTTCTAAGAATCAAAGAGAACTGTTATAACTGATCTGTTGTCACTTGATCTAAGTGTCAGGTCAAAGGTAAAAATTCCTACATACTTTTCGAATGTCTGAGGGAGTTCTTGTGTAGTCGTCACCCCAGTCAGTTGTATCCGAGAGTGAATAAAATCTGATTTTTCTGATATTTCCCATAAGGAACAAACTTCAATTATTATTAGTATGTAAATTTTGAAGAGAAAAGATTAATTATAAATGAGTCATTTATAGGGTTTATTGAAGCGACTGATGTGACTGGAGAAGGACTAGCAAAAAGTCTATTGAAAACATTAAGTGAGCTTGATTTAGATATTATGAATTGTAGAGAGCAGGGATACGACAACGGTAGCAACATGAAAGGGAAATATAAAGGTGTACAGTACAATCTAGAATAATTGCTCTAAACCCTCACGCAATATACGTGCCTTGCCTATCACACTCTTTTAATTTATTAATTTGCGATGCCGCTTCCAGAAGTATATATTGTAAAAATTTTTTGTGGATATTGCAACGTTTATATTGCTTATTTTCTGCATCTACAAAGAGATGGGAAATTCTAAAAAAAGCATTTAAACATTACTCTTAAACCATTATGTGACACTCGTTGGGAAGCCAAAATAGAGACGGTTAAAGTATGGTATACACAGTTTGAACAAACTTGTAATGCCCTAGAAGAATTTATTTATGTAAGTAACGATAATACAGCGGTATCCGAAGCTAAAAGTCTATTGGATTCAATACAAGAAATGTCATTTATTTTATGTTCAATAGTATGGTTTGCAATGCTGTCTAAAATTAACGCTATCAGTATAGTACTATTTCAAGCGAAAACAATTATTCTTGAGTCGGCTTTTAATTTAGTCAATAAAATTAAAACTGAAATCCAAAATTTAAGAACAAATTTTAACACATTTTTAGACGAAGCAAAAGTGTTAGCACGTAATTTGAATATTTCAGAACATTTTCCTGATAAACGAATACGAAAAAGAAAAAGGTTATATTCCGAAATAGCAGAAGATAAAGTTATAGAAAACCCGGTAGAGGAATTTAGATGTTATTTTTTTAACACTGTAATTGATATTGTACAAATAGAAGATAGATTTAAAAGTATACCAAATATTATTTCCGATTTCAAATTAATTACTGATATAAAAACCTTAGAAAAACACGAATTAGAAAAAAATATTTGTAAAGTTTTATAACAAAACCTAATCCAGGAAATTGGTTTGCTACGGGATTTGATTTTGAATGAAAGGGATGTAAANGTTGATTTTAGTTGTACAGTTTTATCTGTAAATAATGATTTTAGTTTAACTTTTTTATAATGTGCATATGTAAATTTTGTAAAAATCATGTAGTCAAATGAACTGAATGAGTATGTATTTTTAATACATTTATATGTATTGATCAGTGAAATATAAATTTGTTTTATATCTGTAATGAGGTGATTACTTTTATGCTAAAAAATTAGATTTTACATTAAACATAAAATTAACATTTTACCATAAACAAAGCATATTTATAAAGAATAATAGTGCAAGGCAGTAAGCCATAAAATCAAAATATTATTTCTGTACATGGACTACGAAAGTGTTTGTGTGTTCTGATAAGTAAGTATTATCAGACCTGTAGAGCATGTGGTCTGATAAGGGTGTGTTTGGCTCTATTTTTTACTGTTTCATCCAATCAACAAAACAATACTAAATGCTTGATTTTGGGAATAAAAGGTAGAATAAATGCTATGACAGTTTTTTTTAATTGAAATTTACACTTAATTTTCTTAATAACATTTAGAGGCCCATCTATTGGCAGACAATGTCTTTGGCAAGAAAATTGTTTGCCAATGCTTTCATGTGTTGGTGAAAGTTAATTGACATAATTGGGATCTGAAAACAAGTGCATTTTGTTAGCAGAAACAAGACAGTTTGAAGAGAAATGTCTTGGTGCACAATATCCTGCAATGGAGTTTTTGAACCATTTTTCTTTGAAGACAAAAAGTTAATCAATATTCTAGACTCATTTTGTATTTTTCAATCAGAAGAAATGCAGCCCAATGTGTTTTCTAGAAATACAAAATATCACCTGGGATTACACATCAGCAAATCTTAGATAGGATACCCAATTGATGAAAAGTTGAAATGGTTCTATTCTTTGGCCTCATCTCTGGATTTTTTGGTGGTATACTTAAAGGAACAGGATGTATTCAAAATTACTGTTACTGACATTGCAGAACTGAAACCTCAGATGGGAGAGAGAAAATAATGCTTTCATATAAAGTTATGATTGAAAAACTTGCAAGAAATCAATTGCAGATTGGATATTTTGTGTGCTACTGAAGGTGCCGACAAGGAAGTTTTCTAAACTTTGTTGGGTACTCATGGCTTTATGACAAAAGAATTCTTTGAGTTGCTACATTCACTCAAAAATCATTTTCTTAATCTGTTATGATTTGTTTAACTAAAAATGTTAAACTGACAATAAATTGTAGCCTCTCTGCTATACATGGTGTTTCATTGGTGGCATTCGGTAGTTTTTTACTAGAAACAATTAGAGATAGGAAGGACTAATGATCAAGTTTATAAAGCAGGCAGGGAGACAATTTTTGGTGACTTCAGATGACCTTGAAAATCAGCACTTTTTGAGGTAGAAAACAAAATACTCTCTTAGTTTCTTTTGAGCCATTACATGGTTGGCATGCAACAAAATAAACACCTTTATAATAGGTCATATCTTCTTAAACAGAATGAAACTTAATGAGCAAGTTTCTTCTAAAAGTATGATTTATTTTTTTTCAAAAAGTTTGTATGCTGGGATACATGTTTATCAGTTTATAAGAAAGCATTTTACATGACAAAAATGATAGTAATGGAAGTACATTTCAAAACTTTCTTAAATTGGATGCTGAAAATGTTACTTTCTGATCCATGTTATGAGTCAACCATTCCGTAATGATCTAAATGTTCTTTCAATTTGAAATTATCATGCACAATAAATGTAGCTGTTCATTTGGTATTTTTTAACAGCCAAAAGGAAATGGCACAAACAGCTAATAAAGTTGTGTCATGTGACATAAATTTGTAGTTTACGTAATATTTTAAGATAATTGTTTAAAAGAAATCTTGAGTTACGATTTATAAGTAATGAGAAAAAGTAAATAATGTTATATCGGACTTGAATAGATTTATAAGAAATAATGTAAATTAGTATCAAAAAGATAATATTTAGCTAATAAAAAATATAAAAATATAGGTTATTTTTGTATTATAAATATAGTGCTATATTGTTGATTTTATAATAGAAATTTTAAGTAGAGATGAGGAGAAATAGCCATCTCTGCAGAGAGAAAATAGTTCAATTAATTTTTAAATAAGAGAAAAACTTTTGAGATTCAAAAGTGAAATATAATTTTTGATCTTGTATTTTGAAAATGAAGTTACATTTTCAAAATACAAGATCAAAAATTATAAAATTAATCAAAAATTATAATTATAAATTATAACTTACAGAATATATTTAATTTGAAATATATATGCAACATTCTAGATATGTATTAATTACTCATAAATTTATTAAATACAGAAATTTCTTTAAAATTTTCAATAATAAAACATTTATCAGTGTCTAATCTATATCTTATTTTGCAGTGTAAACTGANTGGCAAAAATACGAGATTTGTCTTCAGAAGAATAATGAACTGTAGAACCATAGTGTTTTAATGCTCATTCTAGATGTACAGTTTTATCTGTAAATAATGATTTTAGTCTACCTTTTATATAATGTGCATATGTAAATTTTGTAAAAATCATGTAAACAAGTGAACTGAATGAGTATGTATTTTTAATACATTTAGCAGTGAAACATAAATTTGTTTTTTTACCTGTAACGAGGTGATTACAGGCGATATATGATTTGGATGCAATGAGGTGATACAACATTTTCCTTTAGAAGAATAATGAACTATAGGACTATAGTTTTTTATTAATTAATATTGTTGATTTTAGTTGTACAGTTTTATCTGTAAATAATGATTTTAGTTTAACTTTTTTATAATGTGCATATGTAAATTTTGTAAAAATCATGTAGTCAAATGAACTGAATGAGTATGTATTTTTAATACATTTATATGTAATGATCAGTGAAATATAAATTTGTTTTATATCTGTAATGAGGTGATTAATGTAAAATCTTTCTAATATTTTAGCATAAAAGTAAACATAAAATTAACATTNTCTAATGACATCGGGATTTTTTGCTTAATATGTTAGGCAATATACCAATTTTATTTTATTTTCTTTCACTGGATGGCAGAAGAACTTTTCTGTTATGTATGTTAAATTTTTATAGCATGCATTAACTGTATAAAATCATTCATTTAACAACTACTACAGCAAACTTCCTCATATTCCAATACCATGATGCGAAGCTTCTGTAACACTAGTTTTAATGGTGGTGACATTTTAACAAATGAGGAAGAAACCAGAAGTCATTTGCCACAACTAGGTGATCAAAGGCTGGTTAATATTCAAATCGATTCTTTCCATTGACAGTATTAGTTCAGAATCACCATAAAATAGTTATTTTATTAGCAATATTATCTTGCAGCATAATTAAAAATAATAATTAGAGATAAAAAGCAATGTAATAAATAATAATAATAATAATGGGAAATGAACTTTATTTTAAAACTGAATAATATTCTACATCTGACTCACACTAAACAATTTCCAAACGAAAATTTTGCTACAGTTTCAAATATTTACTCAATATTTATCCACAACATTCTTTTAAAGTGGGATTTTTAAAAGGATTTACATATACATATATACATAAAACTAATTCATAAGAATGATGCAGAAAGATCAGAATTTTGGAGAAATTTTGGAAGATTGTGGACATAAGACTTTTTAATGTCAAACTAAACACAATTTGAGATATTATTAAAATTAAAAATGTGAAAAAAGAATTGAATTGGTACATTTACAATAGAATTAAATTACTTCTTTCACTAACTTTACTGTTTAACAATTCAGCTAGGCCTATGTCCTTTTATTTGAGTATTTCTAATTGAACTATCTGAGTTTGGATGTAAAATATATGATTTTGCAAAATTTACTTTCTTTTTAAGTACAAAAAAATATCTTAGATATTTTTCTGAAACAAAACTTATAATTTTTTTTTCTTTTATATAAAAGTCCATTTTGATTCAGGCATATATTACATTCGTTTTCTCAAAGATTCTGTTGTTATTATAATGTGTCTTCCAAACATTGCTAATGGCAGACTAGAAACTTCATAAAAGAATAATTTGAAGTTTTGTTCATATTTTTAACAACAACTGAAGGTAGACTCCTACATTTATTATAACTCCACCATCATTGGGGAATGTTCTGGAAGGAAGACAATAAAGAAATAAAAACAGTGTGACAATATGGATGAAAACTCAGAAAAACCATCATCGCAAGGTAGGGACGTTTGCTTTAGAGCCAAAAATGTCGACGATTTGCTTTTCGTAATCTTCTATGTTGCGTCTCATGATATCCATGCACGGTCCTAATAATCTTTCAAAAGCATGGACATCTAAAACTGAATAGACAATAGAGATGCGAATTTAAAATACACGATAAGTGAAACTAACCATTAATTTCTGAAATAATTTGATGCAATATTAAACTTACATGCAAGTTTAACATTTCCTATGGCATAAACAGAAGCAGCACGAGGTTTTTGGGTGACTAAAGCTAATTCTGAAAAAATTTTTATAAATTATTATTGCAGTGATTTCAAATTATTTTTAGAATATAAACACTATAAATATCTTAAAATATAATTTCTAAAAATTAAAGATTATGTATTTTGAAAATGAAGTTACATTTTCAAAATACAAGATCAAAAATTATAAAATTAATCAAAAATTATAATTATAAATTATAACTTACAGAATATATTTAATTTGAAATATATATGCAACATTCTAGATATGTATTAATTACTCATAAATTTATTAAATACAGAAATTTCTTTAAAATTTTCAATAATAAAACATTTATCAGTGTCTAATCTATATCTTATTTTGCAGTGTAAACTGATCTTCAGAGTTTAGAGTACTCTAAAGACTAGTTATAATAGACATTGATTAGCTAATTCATTCTTTTCTATTCAGTATAACATACAATACATAGACTTTAATTTTAGTAAACTTGAAATTATTTACTTGACTATAGAGTATATGACGGCATTTGTTTCCCATTTCTCATCAATCATAGACTTCAAACAGTGTTCAAAAACTCCTGCTTTCACTATTCACATTATGTGTTCTGGAAATCTGCATGTACACATTTTATGAGAATAGTAATTGCAGGATTTTTAAACACAATTTTATTTTGAATCATCTTATTTCTTGCAAGTTTGAATAGGAAGAATAACATTTTAATTAAAATATTTTTTACAACACACTTGTTAGAAAGCTCTTTAAATAGATTTTTTTAGAATGAAAATTTTTTAGATATTTCAGAGTCTTTGTTCCATTAAAAGTAGTTTAAAAATAATACATTCATATGTTATCGAAAAATTAAATAAAGTTATAAAGCAGACAAAGTGTGTTATAAAAATTAGAAAAAAATTTTATCTGTTAAACAAGTAAACAGAAGTTATTTTTATTTTTCGGCAAGCCCTATATTGAAAAATATGAAAATAATAAGGCTTGATATTAGTTATATACAATCTGTCTATGGAAAGAATTGACTTGAGATCAACGTCGGGTGTGATGTCGGTTCAGTTAAACAAATGGGCACACTTTCTAATGACATCGGGATTTTTTGCTTAATATGTTAGGCAATATACCAATTTTATTTTATTTTCTTTCACTGGATGGCAGAAGAACTTTTCTGTTATGTATGTTAAATTTTTATAGCATGCATTAACTGTATAAAATCATTCATTTAACAACTACTACAGCAAACTTCCTCATATTCCAATACCATGATGCGAAGCTTCTGTAACACTAGTTTTAATGGTGGTGACATTTTAACAAATGAGGAAGAAACCAGAAGTCATTTGCCACAACTAGGTGATCAAAGGCTGGTTAATATTCAAATCGATTCTTTCCATTGACAGTATTAGTTCAGAATCACCATAAAATAGTTATTTTATTAGCAATATTATCTTGCAGCATAATTAAAAATAATAATTAGAGATAAAAAGCAATGTAATAAATAATAATAATAATAATGGGAAATGAACTTTATTNACCTCAGAAACTAAAACTTCAGCATGCAGGTTGCCAGATGCCCTTGATTTTCATTTTTTAATGTTTCTATTTCATAACTGCAATGGCAGGTTTCTGCATGGGCATCTTGAGACTAATTCAAGATGCATTTGGGCTGTAATCTTGTCATATGTAAACAGTTCAGCTATTCATATGCAATGATTTTAGTTCTTTCTCATACTTTAGGAACCAACAAAGTAACATGACTGAATTACCTTCTTTTTTGAGTCTGTTTTCCATCTCCAAATGTACACTAAGTAACTTTGTTGGTTCCTAAGGAGTGAGAAAGGACAATATAAATATTTTTTACATGTAACTTATTTTGGTTTGGTAGGAGTTTTGTTTTTACAGAACTTGATCTTTTAATTAAGTGAAAAATCCAAGGACAAATATAAATTTTAATTTGAAAATTCTTTTAATACTTTTTGTATTTAATATTACTTTTCCAAAAAACTGAGCCATGTAGATGTAGCAGTTTGAAAATTGCTTTGTGTTTCTAATTATTAGGAACCCTAGGTGACAATTAGCGTCACCGTACAGTAAATGGTTCTCCAAGAAAATCATCAGATTGTAGGCAAGTTGCCTATTAAAACAACTTTAATACAATTGGATGAGCAAACTGATGGCTTAACCATTTCATTTAAAATGGGATGTGACTTGGAAAAAGACACACCACTAATAACCCTGTTCTTTCTACTTTAATTGAATTTGTAAATAAAAGATAGCCAACCTATAGACAAAATATTCCTGAACAATTGACATATTACCACAGACTAAAAGATGACACTGCTGGTGAAAGTGAACTAGTTTTCCTAAGTGAAGAGGTAAGTGTGCAAACTGGTCTAAAAAAATTTTTTAAACATACTACAGGAGTCAAACATGAGTATAGAGAAAACTAAGTGTAGAGTTCCAACTTTCCATAAACTGTTTGAACTTTCAAGTTGTCACTTCAAGCCTGTGCTATTCCAGGTATAATGGACTTGTGGAGAAAGCTGTACAAATAGTAAAAAATATGCTGAGAAAGTGTGACGATGAAAACAAAAACATCGATATCATTCTTGGAATATAAAAAGTGTCCATTATCAGAAATTGCCAATAGAGATACTGATGAGTAGGAAATTAAAGACAACATTAGTCAAAAGTGTTATAAGATGTCAAGAAGGAGGAAGCAAGAGAAAATATAAAAACATTATGACAAAGGTACACTATGAGGATTGAGTAATGATTAAAAATGATAATGCCTGGGAATGTTCAACAATTACTTCAAAAGCAGAGATACCAAAATCTTACATTAAGGTCATATATTAAGATGAAACAATTTACATGTAAAACAAGTAAAAGAGACCATCCCACTGAATAGTGGCAGGAATGATCTGGATGATATCTTGGAAAATTGCTAACAATGAAGCCTACAGCACAAACGAGTGTTCCAGAAAGAGAACATTCATGTAGATCTAGGAGTGAAAAAGTTGTAAAACCACTAGAAAGATTTGAGTTATGCTATTACCTTGTTTTATAACTTTAAACAATTTCAGTTCTGTTGGTTAAAAAAAGTAGTCTTATGTTAAAAGCTGTAATGTATTGGATTCAGAGTATGTGAGAACTGGCAACACTACTAATTATTGAGAGTAACATGGTCAATGAATGGAAAGCTTCAAACACTTTTAAGTTCTTTGTTATTAATTGACAATATATTGCATATATTAATACAACTGTAAGGAACCAAGTCCGTGCTTTATTTTTAGTTTACTTTTACTTTGCTTTATTATATTTTTGTTTGGGGCTTATGTTTGGTTAGGACGAAGGTTTCCTCACCCACCACCCTAACGTTCAAAAACGAGAAGATAAAAGATTAACCAACTCATCGACGACGAAACGATAGCGCCATGCTAGCATTGCACTCACGTGCACGCCCGAGCGGCAGAATTGTAAGTCCGCACTGAAGGGGGGGACACCCCAATAGACTTTCTAGGAACTTGTGTAACCTTAACAAAACATCCCGATAATTGTTAAAGAAATGCTGTAAAAGGTTAACAAAGTATTGTCGAGAAATAAGCTACCAGATAACGAAGAGAAAACAATGTTACGTGTAGATATGTAAATGAGGGGAGTGGCTACAGTAGAACTGTGACGTCACCTCATACTGTAAGTACAGTAGCTCAAGTGAAGACAGGAGAGGTGAGCTCCTGAACGGAAAGCGTTGGTCTGCTGGTAGCAGTGAATAGGTGTCGAATAGGAAATCCTAGTAGGAGATTGAAGGTTCGATTTTGGTGATTTGGAAATAGGAAAGTCTTGAGTAGAAGAAAAGGTTCCGAGTATTAATTGAGGTGACGGTTAGGATTGATAGTTATAAGAGAATTTGTATCTAAGTTTAGAATTGGATGTTGTTTTGTCGGAATTCCAAGGGGAATAGTTCTAAGTTAGAATAAGACTTAAGTTTGTCGGGTTGATTTGTGATTTGATTTTTGATTAATAAATTTGTTGTTTGGTTATAAATCTTGTACATAGTATTGGTTAAATTTGATTAAACATTTATTATTGAGATTTTTTTGTGACTAACTTTGTCCTTAATTTATTTCGGTGCACGCTAAAAGTCCAGGCCTGGCAACTAACAAACGTGAACCCGCGTAAAGTACCCGTTAGGTCCCGGCTCTAAGAAAAATATCGTTGTAGAGCAACAAATTAAAAATAGTACTTTACACAACTACATCTAGTTATTTTATAATAATAAAAACTACCAAATGTTATATTCCTAGTGATTTCCTCTTGTTTTCTAAATTGAATGACCTCAGAAACTAAAACTTCAGCATGCAGGTTGCCAGATGCCCTTGATTTTCATTTTTTAATGTTTCTATTTCATAACTGCAATGGCAGGTTTCTGCATGGGCATACTATATGTTTATCTATATCTTTCCAAATAGAAAGTTACGGTTTAAAATTGATTTAAAATAAATTAAAATTTGCAAATATTTATAGTTAATATGAAAACTATAAATAATGAATGATTTTTTTTGATTGTGATGAGACAGAGTAAAAGTTGAAGAAAAATGTTTAATTGTCCTTTTGTAGTGCTGCGCTACTATACTTGCAGAGAGACTTCCTAAACTGGTTAATTTATATCTCTATCGTATGTGTAATTGTAGTTCTGTTCAGCTTGTCGGGTTTTGTGTTGTGTTACGCGAGTATTTTTGGACTTGTCCTGTACTACCTTATTCCAGGTCGTATATTGAAGACATCGCTAATTGGTCGACTGCCAGGTCATGTGAGAGGTGACATTTTCGAGATGGCGGGAGGTATAAAAGTGCCTCCGACAGGTTGAACCTGTCGGAGGCACTTTTTCCTTTTTTGCCTTCGTGCTCCTTGGACATTACCCCTTGGAAGGACTTTGAGATGAAACGAGTGGGTGTGAAGTCACGTGGAGTTTCAGTTAGGACAAAGGAAAGATTGTACGTCATTATAAGAAAAAAAGGTAATCCGATTCCATCAACAAGAGACTGCAGGTAGATTAGCACGGAGGATAATAAGGTGAATAGATGTGCATTAACGGAACCTAATGTGACTATTATTATTTTAAATTATATGGTTGTAAATTTTTAAAACACGCGAGTTTGAATAGAGAGGTTGGAAGGAAGACAATCACCAGAAAAGAAAAGCCCCAGAATCAGTGCCAAGAGGAGTATTCCTACATGTGGTATAACTAGTGTAAACATTTACATGTGGTATATACACATCATCGAGGGTGCAATTAATGTTTATGTTGGAGTCACCTCAACCAATTGTTAGTCAATTAAGCATGGAAACAAAGTGGTGTCGGGTATAGTGTTAATTCTTTATGTTTCTCTTTGTAGTTATTAAACGTGTCTGTCAACGTTCTCGTTAAAATTTTGTAAAGTCCTCAATTTATTTCTCATTACATAAGCTCGATATATTCTGGTATATCCAAGATACAACACTTTAATCCAATTGTAGAAATCTGGCAACCTCAGCAGTAAGCCACTGGTTTTGAGTGAAAAAAAGTTTTTTAAGGACGAAATTCAGTACCTTGTTAAACATTGGCCGAAGTGTATTGAAGTTGGAGGAGATTATATGAAAATGTAATTATCCAGAGTTGTGAATAAAGTTTAAGGTACAGGATGTGTGTAATTAAAAGTTATAGACAAAGCTGTTAGAGATAGTTTAATAAAATTTTGTAGGCATGTTTATCTTGACATGAGAAATTATAAATGGAGTTACAAAAATAGTTATAATTTTCACCACTAGGGTCTATGATATCACCAGTGTTGCAGCAACAGCACTATAAAGACATATTGCAAACTTTTGTCATTCCTAAACTACAGCAAAGGGCATGTTTATTCAAGATGGTCCAAGATTCCACATCACAGTCATTGTGAAAAACATACCATCAAACATGTTTGACCAATTGATCACCCTTTCATTGCCGGTCTTTTCCAATGCACTGGCCTGGTTCTTTGCTATTAATTGACTATACATTGCATATATTATTACAACTACATTAACATTGACTATATATTGCATATATTAATACATCTAGTCATTTTATAATAATAAAAACTACCAAATGTTATATTCCTAGTGATTTCCTCTTGTTCACTCAATCTTACACCTTATGATTTCTTATTATGGAACTATTTGAATTATATATATGGACCTACAGATTTATCAGAAATAAAGATGCAAACTGAAAGGGAAGTGCATCTCAATAGTTCCAACACATTATACTTGGCTCTTGCTATTTGATAACTTGAATGCCATTTGTGGAGTGAAATTTGTCTATACTTTTCCCAGATTGAAATAGATCAATAATGTTTTGTAAGCAGACTAATCTCTAACAGTTTTATCTCCAGAGTGGTCTAAAGTGATATACTTCAATTATAGACATTTTGTTTCACTTAAATATCTCATTTCCTTCACTATTTAGGTTGAGGCAAAAATTTTCAGTCTGTCATCATAAATCATTTTTAAGTTATTTAAAATGATTATTTTCATATTTATATTACAAGAAAGCACAAAACTTACCACCAAAATATTCTCCCTTCTTTAATCGAGACATTTCAACTTGCTTGCCTCTCTCTGGACCTTCACTCTATTGAATAAGAATAATTTATTAAAATAAATCACATAAAATGTTTATTTTGTAACTGTGTATACAGAGTGAGTCAAAATTCCCTTGCACCCTTTTTATTCTAAAAATAATTTTCAACGCTGACAAACAAAGTCACATGGTCCGATCAAATTCTCCATGCATAACTTCCTCTGTAACTGCATTAACAAAATTAATATATCATCAGTACTTTAGAATAAATGTGAGCAAGGGACTTTTGACTCACCCTGTATAAAATAATACATGTCATAAAAATATAAAAAATTAATATTTAATTATTGGTGTTTTGATCATAAATTTAATCAAAAAAATTTAGTTATAATTTGTTTTTATTAATCATAAATTAAATTAGATTAAAATGAGAGAAATTTATCAAAATTACTTACTGTTACCATTGTAACTCTAACAGTTCCTTCTTCAATAAAATACATACCATCTGCTTTATCACCCTAAAATGTTTCAGATAACGTAATTTCTTATATTTTATGAAAGTCAAATTAATAATGGAAAAATTCAATTATCTACTTTTTAATTAATTTTAAATTTGTACACAATTTATCTGCAAAATACTAATTATTTAGAAGAATTTAATGTAGACTTTACTGTTGATATTTAAACTCAAATTTGTTTAGGTAAAATGAAATTCATATTCATATGAAATGAATTTCATCTGATTTAATAAGTTTATGAATTTCAAAAATTTTTAGTAAATATAGCAGTGAAGATAAATAAAAGAAGTATCACTCTTTCACCATAGAAACTAAACTGGACATTATAGAACTAAGTGTGAGAATACAGGCCCTCTAATCGTCTGATCAGTGAGATCTGCTCACAGCATCACTGGATGGCTTTTTATCGAGTGGCGAGAGGGTTGAGAAAGTCAATGAGTGTCCGTGCAAGCAATGATAGACAGGTTCACAGGTGAAACGAACAAATACAGAGTTTATATACTAAACTAATTTACAGGAGCATACATAAAGAATTAAATGATTCAATGAAGATAACATATAAATCTATCGGTAAAGGCAATCAAACTAGTCACTATGCCACATGTCTAACCTCTAGAGTGAGAGAGAGAGTTTACAAAGGTTTCTGCCCTCAAATATACCTCAACATGCTGTCAGATGACAGTATGCAATGATCATTCTGGAATATGGAAGCTGGAGCAGTCCTATGTCTTCTACCTGCTTCTTCTCAGACAGGACCGGAATGGGAGACACTTGTACCTAGAACTTCCTGTGACGATTGCACTGAGGGATGATTGCCCTGAACTTCCCATGACAATCATTTTTATACGATCATCGTTGGCACTGAGCCAACTGGTTGTTCACTCATTACGATGACTAATTTGCAGACACGCGATGATGTGCGCCTTCTTCCTTCCTAACTTGTTGATGTTAAGAGTTGACATCCAATCTATTTCCGTGAGAATGTCCGATAATTTTTTCTCATTGACTGATGTTTTATACTTCCTTTGAAAAAATTAATCTGACAGTAAAACTCAAAAATTTACGCCCTCAAACCATCGGGTTCACATAAGTTTGTTAACCAGTTTAGGCCTAATAAATCTGTCATTGAGATTCTACATAAAAATATTTTGATCAGTCAACTTAATTTAGAGAAATTTTTAATTTCTTTCCATTTATGATCTATTTGATTCTAATAATTAACCCATTGCTAAAGTGGAGAACACTGTTCTATAATAAGATGAACTTTTGTACAAGATAAACTGTAAAACTAAATATGCAAATGACTGACATTCATAGTTGATTATTAAAACAGTTACAAAAGAAACTTTATTTTATGTAGAGCCCACTGTAGATTTATAACAAAGCAATAATCATTGTTTAATATAACATAATCTGGTGGTATTTAATCTTTATTGATAAAAGGCATACACAGAATCATAGCAAAATAAATTATTCAGTAGCCAAACAAAGTGATTTGTAACTTTTGTATCATGTGATTAGGGGCACAGCTCCAAATAATTATTCCATATATAATATTTGAATCTATGCAGATCTTATATGGAATATAACCATCTTACTGCTGTTTTTGAAATGATCAGAGATATTTTCTTAGAGGGCCAGGATTATTGGAATAAGCATTTAATTTGAAGATCCCAGTATCATTTATTGTTGATTGTCATAGCAAGATGTCAGTTACTTGCTTGTTAACCTTACTGATTCCAAGATGTAAAGATTAAACAATTAATAGAGTATTAATAAAACACACATTTCTAATAATATAAGAAAGAAAAGTTATTATTATATGGATAATCACAACTCATTTGTGGTCAAAATAAGAAATTTTTGCTGTTTTTAAAATAATCTGATTAATAAATTTTCTAATGATTAAATGAATAATTCTAAATTTAGACTATTCTAGACAAAACTTTCAAAACAAAATCTGAGCTGCACTATAAATTCAGAAATAGAATATGAGTAAGAAAATGATTATAGTTTTATAAATTGGGCTTTACTGGTTTTTTACTATATCTAAAATTGTCAACTCTTCCATAATAATTTTCTCAAAAAAATTCACAGTCATATTAAGGGTCTATGACAGGTATGGCTAACATATGGCCCGTGGGCCAGATCCGGCCCTTCTAATGAATTTATGTGGCCTGTGATCAATCTTTCAATATTAGGTATTGAAGTCCAAATAGCTCGATGAAACATTCTGACGCCTAAAGAAAAAAAAAAGGTCAACAACTCACTGCACATTTAGAGTTAACCCTCCATTACAAATCTTGTAAGTACAGTGTAGAGTGTTGATAAAGCATGATAATGTGAAAAATGTATCTGTAATCTGTAATCTACAATTCAGTCTCTACGGGATGACACCACAATGAGATCTCGTACCTCCTCAAAATCTTCTTAGGGCAGTCTCTGATTCGGCTTGTGGAAAAAGTTTTCGGCCCGGGGGCAAAAACTGTTGGCCACCCCTGGTCTATGATATCATGAAGCTATGAATGAAGGTTAAAAAAATGAAGCTGTAGCGTTTCTGATAAAATAATTGATTAAAGACACATATGAAAGGATGAAATACATGGTATCAAACTGAATTTACTCCTCCCCATTGAATGCTTTTTCTATATATTTCATTTTTTAAAGAATTTAAAATTTAATAAAAATAAGAAACATTTAGAAAACTACTTTTAACAAGCCTCTAGTTTTATTGTTGCTTAATAGCTGTATATTTTCAAAAGTAGCTAAGTTAACTTTGAGTGTTTGATAAGTATTCAGCAGTAGTAAAGTGCTACATCTAATTCTTTCACTTAAAATTTAATTACATTAAAATTATTTAATATTTCTCATTTAAAAAGAAATTGACTAAAAAGAGAAACAAACATATCTTACACAAGAACTGTACTCATGATCCTTTTAAGCATGAAAAATGCTTTAATTACTTAAACTACTAGGAAATACTTATATTCTAATAATAATATAATTAAATATAGAAATTCAAAAATAAATTTACATCTAAAATAATGTTTCCCAATCTTTTTAGTTCTCTTTCAGTATGTTAAAACACTAATATTACCCTGAAATATCACAAAGGTTAAAAAAAAGGAACTTTGTGATACCTTGTTATCTATGGATTGAGAAACATTCATCTAAAATATTAATGATAATTTTAAACTAAATTTATTTATTTCTATTAGAATCTTAATATTTTCAAAAATATTAAAATCTAAAATTTCAGAATTTAATATTTTAATTTTTAACAGAACATAAAAGAATAATTACAGTTTATTTGTGTGTGTGAAATGGTTTTTTTTAAAACCTTTTCAAATTCCTTTCCTACTTGCGTTACAATTAAAACATCAGAATAAAGATACATTTTATGGTGAAATGCTAAAAAGTTAGCAAAGATTGTGATATGAGAGTTGTCATGTTTTAATTTATATATTAAATTTTATTTATACTTCACAATTTAACAAAAAAGCAAATTTTTTTGCACTGACAAAAGGTGTATACAGTATTATCATGTGCATAATTAATAATAATATATTTTGTTATATTACATATACAGAAATTACCAGAATACAGATATACACAACCCATAAAACAAGATAATGTATATAATAAAAACTAAACATTTTTTTTGAAGTTATGTACATCTTAGAGGTATCTTGCTATAAATAAAACTTGAAAGTTTTTTCTTTTACATAAAACATTTTTTTTGTTTGTGCCATGAATTGCAATATTTTTCCTATCTTGGAACTGTGATGCAATATTAGGAAAATCTCATTAAAAAAATAGAGAAAGTATACAGTTTTGAAAGCTGTATAAAAATTACGAACCTTACATAACTTTTAAAAAATGTTCTGCACATATATAAAAGAGTATAAAACGTTTCAAGAGAGATACTGTTACAAATTTGATATGTTCGATATTAATATCGAATGTTATGAGAAAATTATTTTAATACCATACCAATTTTTTTTTCTTTTGGCGTAATTGTTGATTCTTAATATTGCATATAGGTTTAACCCCAAAAACCATTTGGTAAATGGTTGTTGAAGTTTAAGGACAGGAAAAATTTGCATTCATTAATTACACATGGACTATTTGTTTTCAATAACATTATCTAGAAATAACAGTATCCATTTTATATAATTTAATATATTTTATCGGATGTTCAATAAAAAAAAATACACTGTAGGAACACATGATGAAGCAAGAATGTCACTTTGTGTAGTACAAAATACATGGTTTCTGTCGTATTTTCAATATTTAGAAAACTTTTGACTGTTGCACATTAATACCTTAGGGATCTTCCTTCTATTAGGAATTATTTCTCTTTTCAATAAAATGGCAGATGTATCTGAAGTATGTTGTGCTAGCTGTGAAAAAAACACAGGGTTACAAAAAATAAACTCTTGTAAAATTCAATGAAGATAAAGTTATCTACAAGGCCATTTTGCTTCACTAAGTGTTTGAAATGGGCATCCTGCACCACTTGACAGTATGCCAAGACAAGCTATAAATTCTTCCTCAATCCTCATAAGCTGCTCTGCTATTATTTGTATGGAAGCATCAATTATATACTGTCATAATTCTGTGACATTTGTAACTGCTGTTTGGAAAACACTTTCTTTTACGTAGCCCCCAAAAAATAAATGTAATGGTGTCATATCATGAAAGCAGGAAAGCTATGGATGTGGACCTCCTTGGCCAATCTACATACCTGGAAATATAGATCCAACCACGGTCTAACTTGAATAGCCCAATGGGCAGATGTTCCATTGTGTTGATAGAAAATGGAATCTCAAGATCTAAATTTTTGATCAGTGGCCAAACATGCTATACAAATAATTCCAAAAGTAATTTTGGCAGTTGTGGGTACTGTCAATAAAAAACAGCCAAGTACTTGTCAGTAAGTGTTAATACTCTGGATATGTTGCATGAAACAAAATATCATTATTAAGATTTTTTCAATATCCATGGGCAAATCTCATCTCCATCCACTGTAGCTCGCTCCTCTTCATGAACTGCTTGGTAAAAGTTATACATTCTTTCCATCTACAGTCACTTTTTGACTTACAACAGTGTGAGGGTCGTAAAAGTGCGTCGAAATTACAACTAATTACGAAACTTTTATGTCGGAAAGTTTCGAAGATAAAATCGGGTCAAGAGGGTGTGTTAATGACAGAACCCAGATGGGATGAAAACTTTTTTCCGTATTGTAAAACAAACGCAGCGCGATGATAAACAGCAGGGGGGATGTTGACAGGGAGAGAGAGCTTTGTCAAGATGCTCACAAACAAGTGTCGGGCTGAAGTAATCGAGAAAAAGGGGGGTTTAAGAACAAAAGGGACATCTGTTAAGTCTGAACGTGGTAGGGGATAAGTGTCCACAAGAACATTTGGTGGACTGTTTAAGTTCAAAGATGTCCGAGAGAAGGGCCATAACGGAGTAAAATATGAGCGCAAACATTAAAAGCCCCGTCATCACCTCTCTGACCTTTTCCCAACCTGGATCGGTCTTGAGTTTCACCTAGAAACAAAAGAATGACCAATCAGGGTAAGGGAGAGGGTGAATGGGACCAATCAAAAGGGTGAGTGAGATTCGAGGAAAATCTTATAAAACCCCCGAGTCTCAAGGACAAAGCAGAGATTCTCAGCCACTTCTCTCCGAGCCGATTCTCAGCTGATTCTCCGCAGTTCTCCTCTGGACCAGTATTTCCACCAGTGGGCCAAGATCTCCGTCCATCCGCAGCATCACCTGTCAGAGTCACCTCCTGTACAACGGACACTCATCTATCAATGACCTGGGATACGGCACCCCAGCCTTCACCCATCCACCAACATCGGGAGCTCCCCAGCGGAAAGGTCTAGATCAAATTTTCTGTGTTATTACTGTTATGTAAGTTAACCTTATGTCAAAATAAACGGTTTTCGTGTAAGACACTTGTCATTTTCATCTCCTGCCGCCACCACCCACGCACGACTTGACCCTAGGTTTTCCTGATGCGCAATTAACATATTGCCCCCTAAAGTCGGCAACCTTACAAACGGGGTTCAGTTCTGCAGCTTCGGATGTAAGTTGAAATAGTGATAAGTCGAGAAGTGACTGTATAACAAAACAATTAGCCACCTTACACAAGGACATGCAAAGGGTAACTACACTAACTGCACAACAAAACTAAAGATGACACAATCGATTGCAGAAGTGTACATGTATATGATATATATTGATGAAAACTATAAAAAATTGATACATTTTAAAAATTTTTTAATAAAATTTTTTCACCATAATGGTCATAAGTTGAGAAGTGACTGTATATGTTATTTCATTGTCTTCAATCAGAATCTTTTCGTTTTTGTACTTGATTGTATGTGTACTTTTTCATTCAGTAAAGTGTTTTCTTATTATTAATATATGTGTCCTCTCTTAATCATATTCTCATTCATTTCACTGCAGATTGTTTTTTTATCCATTCTTCCATTGCTTTTGTTGTTTCTATATTAATCATGCTTCTGTAAGTTTTCTATTGTATCAGCTTATTATCCACATTAAAATTTCTTCTTTCCATCATCACTAAAATTTCCTCTGTTATCCATGGTTTATTTGTTGTTCTTACTTCCATTCCAAAGCATTTTATCAACTTCGGTGACCTCTTTTTTTCAGGATTTCCAATTCTTTTCAATGCCAGTGTTATCTAACTCTTCATAGATGAGATTAGAATTAGTGATTTGTGCATTTCTACTGTGCTTGATTTTTGTTAAGCACAGTAGAAATGCACAAGCACTTGATTTCCAACATCAAATCTGAGTATAATTTTTTCTTCAGCCTTAGTTGACTTGTCATCAGTACTAAATTGTAATCTGTATTTATGTCAATACAGGGATATGTCTTACAATTTGTACAGGTAACCCCCGTATAACACGGCACTTCTATAGCACGGATTCGCTCTAACACGGTTCAAGAATTGGTACCATCCCCCGTATAACACGGTACTTTTATAGCACGGATTTATTCTGACACGGTTCGAGGATTGGGTAAAACCCTCGTACAACAGAAAATGTAATAAATTTCTACATACTTAAGTAATAATAGTTCACGAAAATTATTATTTTCGTGAACTATTAGTACTTAAGTATGTAAATTTTCTCTTCTCGCCTTCTGTCGATACAGGTGGTCTTTCTCGAAACTTGTTTCAATGTTGCCAGATCGCGACGCTTCTGCTTCTGAT